GCAGGCATTCTCCTCTTTTGCTTTCAGGGGTTCTGCCGCAAATGCTGAGGCATGTGTGGCAAGTTTTCGAGAGTCTTGGCTCGCAGCAAGCTTTGGGTCCCCGCCAAATGTTTCGTAGGATCAAAAGACGGCTCCCTGTTTCCAAGAGCAGCAGATTGTTGCGGCTAGCATCGGTCGGTGTTCCTGTAAAGTTGCCTCAGTGGATGATTCATACCGAAAGCATTCATACAGTCTTCTCCACAGTCCGGAACAGCTTGCAGCTGAAGTGCAATTCTCAGAGCAAACGCTGAACTCGCTAAAGGTTCCTCTCGGGGCCTTCACTTCTGGAGAAGATCCTGAGTGACTCGCAGTTCCTCTTCACAAGAGCGTGCTGGGTTAAGCTGACGCTGGCTGACGCGAGTTTTGCCTAAGCCTGGGAGGTGCTTTCAAGCCGCCTCCACAGAACTTTTAGTTTGGGTAGTTTTCATGTTGGACGTTGTCTAGTATATGGAAGGCTTCGAGAGCATGCTTCCAGAACAAAACAACTTTCTTTGTCAGACACGCAGCAGGCCCATAGTTATTGAGCAGACAAGGTTCTCCGAACGAGATGCATCGGCCGCGCCTTTGCTGCTACTAGAACCAACTACTGGCGCTGAAATTGTACGGCATCTGTGTCGTTATGAACAAGTTCAAAATGTTCAAAATGTTAAAGACTCAAGTGTTCAGGGCCTTTGGCATTGCCGCATTCGCAATTACATCGGCATGGTTGGTTCAAAGGTAAAGAATGTGACAGCCGTGCTTTTTCAGGATGGTTTCCAGACTGTCATGGCGTTCGTTTAAGTGACGATGTGAGATTGCCATGCCCCGTACTCTAGGGACCCGAGGGGTAGTTGGGCCTCGCTGGAGATGACACGCTTAGATCTTAGATGTCAGTGGTTTGGTTGTTTTTCCACTGCGATCTAGAGCCCGAGCTTCTCCATCCAGATGACACCAGGTTCTCTTTAAACTTTTCTGCTCCACTGGCAGTGAGAGTTTTCAAAGCATCGACTCTGTTTTCTCAGGAGTTTCGGAGCTCAACTGGGGAAGTAGCGATGGGCATCGATGCAACCTTGCATTGTCTTGAGGCGATGAAGGCTATGATCATGGCAGTGGGCTACCTCCACAGCAACGTGGCGGAAACGAAAGAGCAATACACAACGAGAATAATACACGAACTAATCTGCAGTAATTTAATTGATGATAATCGTACGTTCTCATCAGAATCATACAAATCACTGAAGCGTAGCCAGGCTTGAGCGTATCTACAACTCTGCTGTAGCCAGGCAAAGAGTTGTCATTTTCCTGATAATGTTGAGGAAACGAGGGGGCTCACTATTCGGTCACTATTGAACGGTTCACAGCAAAAGTGGGGAGGGTCAGTATTGAGTTTTCCACTTTGGGGGGGGAGGGGGGGGGGGGGGGGGGGGGGGGCTTCGTCATTGATTGTATCAATGCGCCATGCGGGGTACGCTTGAGGGTTGCACGGGACTTGGACTTTGAGTTATAGATCGCCGTCCGTGTGAACGTTCGTTCGTACGTCGTCTTATCTCAAGCGCTTGCTTTGTGGAGCTTCGCGGGCCTGGATCACGGTCTCCGTGAACGCAGCTGGGATCTTGAGTTGCGGATCACGGTGTCTCTGAGAGCGTGTTCCTAGCAAGCACATGTTGCTCAAGTCTTTGTGCTCCCGAGCACGAGTAGAAGCACTGGTAGTAGTATTAGTACTAGCAGTACTAGCAGTACTAGTAGTACTAGTAGTACTAGTAGTACTAGTAGTACTAGTAGTACTAGTAGTACTAGTAGTACTAGGAGTCTAGCAGTCGTCGTCGTCGTCGTCATAGTAAAAATAGCATCACTGCCAATGCCCATGCCAATGCCAATGCCAACGGAGGCTGCAAGCTGCTGTGAAAACAATGAAATGAATCACCCCGTAGTTTCTTCTGGCTCTGACCAAGGTCTCTCCATCGCGCACCAGCCGCCTGGAGCAGTTGAAAATCTTGGGAAGATTTGATGGTTCGGTCAAGGTCACTTGTCATCGTGGTCGTTGCTCGGACACGTTCTCTTTGTCAGGGTTGTTGCGCCCCATCGGCGGACATCGAAGATCTCCGAAGCCTAGTGAAGAATCACGTAAGGAACGTACATCTGGAGAACATGCGCTTCGCCACGCAGCCCAAAAAGAAGGCTTGGGCGGGTTATCGATCGGAATTGGCACTTTGTTGCGAGGACGTTGCCACAAGGCATCGCCACACCGCAGGTGAGGTTCAAGTTCGGTGACGCTTAGAAGCGCACAGGGAGCACGCGCGCGCCTGAATCTTTTTCTCATCCCTCACCGTTGCTGTCACCATGACCTTAGCGTGCCTTGTCGCCTGAAGACCTGGAGCAGAGTTGCTACAGTAATGATTTAGCAAGTTTCTTTGTCCACCCAGGTGTGACGAGAGTGTGTTTGTGAGCGTGTGTGTGTGTGTGTGTGTGTGTGTGTGTGTGTGTGTGTGTGTGTGTGTGTGTGTGTGTGTGTGTGTGTGTGTGTGTGTGTGTGTGTGTGGGTGGTGTGTGTGTGTGTGTGTGTGGGTGGTGTGTGTGTGTGTGTGTGTGTGTGTGTGTGTGTGTGTGTGTGTGTGTGTGTGAGTGTGAGTGTGTGTGTGTGTGTGTGTGAGTGTGTGTGTGTGTGAGTGTGTGCATCAGTGTGTGTGTGTGTGTGTGTGTGTGTGTGTGTGTGTGTGTGTGTGTGTGTGTGTGTGTGTGTGTGTGTGTGTTTTTGTGTTCTCACACTTTGCGACTTGCAGCTAAACATCCGTGATGCATCAGCAAGCTTTTGGACAGTTTTGATGCATCCCGTGCACTTTGGTCAAGCCGCTAGCTGCAGCCATGAGCGGAGACACAACTGCACGCTTGAATGGTTTGAAACAATTGACTGCCAGCCACCTGAAACCTGGAGGAACATGGCTCCTGCTACAGTGATCAGCTGAAGCTGATGGATGCAGGGCTGAGCCTGGCTCCCAAACACAGCGCTGCATTGAACTCTTCTTGAACTCTTCTGAGTTGCTGTTGGTTCTTCTTGACTTTCGGCATCTTGCGTCTGGGGGGTGTGCTAGTCCTGGTCAGCTACTGCAAAAGTACCACACACAGCTGAATCTTCGGCCATGGTCGCAGATCCAAGGCCTCAACAAGAAGCTCATCCCCTCCATTCTCAATGCTGCCTCCCAGCCCTCCACGGCCGGGCTTTGGGCTTTCAGGGTGTTTTGAGGTACTGCAGATTGGACATCTGTTGACATCAGCCTGTGGGAGCGGACTGGGAAGGAACTGAAGGGAGAAGAGAGCGATGCCAGAAGGCCGACCTGAGTTTAGTCGATTTAAACAGCCACAACACATCGCACGTGATGCGCTGGTAAAAAAACAACTAAGGACACCAGGCACCTCCTAAAGCTGGGACTTTGCAAAAGGCTTGCGTCACACAACCTCGTCTTTGGGTTCCATGATCAGGAGGCGCAGCCGTCACTGCCACTGCTGGGCCCGCTGGGCTTTGCGGCTGCAACGGCAAAGGGTTGAGGCTTCGGTGCGTTGTGTTGTCGTGTAAGGAATCTGCCACTGGTTCTCTGGCCCATGCCGACTGTGTGCACGTGAGATGTTACGAAGGCCTCCCTGATGTGAAGCAAAAGGCAAACATGCAAACACTTTCAGCTTGTGGACCTTTTGAGACTTATAACACTCTTACAACCCTTCATCGGAGGGGGTTTGCACCCGTGATCTCAGGCTTCCAGAACTCCTTAGGCGCGGCTGGGGAGAGGGCATTGGTAACTCTTCCGTGTCATCTCCACACGGCCCATGGCTTTCAGTGCACGAACTTTGCTCCTGTGCTTTGATGCTGTCGGCTTACTCCGTTCATTCGTAGTTCGAGGAAGTGAGGCGTGTGGTGCTTCGCCTTTGGCTGCAAGCTTTTCTCAAGGGACTTAGATGCACAATGCACTCACGTTCTGCTGTGAAACCAACATCGCCTTTATCAGGCAACCGACATCAAAGAACGCCTCATAGATTCATAGATCAAGACTTCGCCCACACTCCCGGCTGCCGAGAACTGACATGAAAATGCGTGAGCTGGCAGCCGTGTGCCTGTGAACTTCATCGCTGTAACCTAGGGCTGCCACTGCATTGACTGAAAAGGCCAGTCTTCCTGCGCCTTGGCTACTAATGAAGCGTATTGTAGCAACTCCCCTCCATCCGTTTACATGGCTCCAGGCCCTAACCGTTCGCGATTTTTCTACATCTCTTGACATCCATCGGCGGTCCATCGGGCCGTATCGAGAGCCATGTTCGTGCCAGCCAGCTACGGCCTGGGGCTGCTGCTGGCCGCTGGGCATTCCTGGGACAATCTGGGACAGTTCAGTGAATTTTGCGCGGGCTGTGCGAAAACTTCTGAATCTTTTCTGTCTGCATAAGTCTCCTAAATACCACCGGCCGGCGATCCATCTTTGCAGCGCTTTCTGCAGGTTCTAGTAGGACGGTCTCAGGTCCTAGCTGAGCTACTGTCACCGGCAGGGCAACCAGGAAAGACAACATGACCACAACGTGCTAGCTGCTAGATCATGCAGACGATGCTTTGCCAGTCAGTTCGAAGCCACCCCAGTTTTCCCGAGAAGTTTGAGGAATCAGGCTTTTTCAGGCTCGAGGAGGCTCGAGGCATGTCAAGCCTTGGCGCGCTCAACGCGCTTTCAGGCGCTGGGCGCTTTGTTCTTCTGGGGCAGCTGGAGTGTGACTTTGGTGTTGGCCTCGAAGGCCACGGAGACATGTTGAATTTTGCAATGTATTGAAATATGTGCTGTCGAGCTGAGTCTTGCTCTGGCTTTCAGATTTCCGCAGGCGTGCCAACACCTAAGAGAAGCGATCGACAGAGGGCAGCAAAGTGTCGCGATTCGCACAATGCAGCATGCGCCGTGTGCTCAACCTACGCAGGGATGAGAGTCGCCCATTACATGGGTTTTGTGAAGGCCATGGCATTCCAACTCTACTACCTCGAATTCTCTGTGGCGTTTCTGACCACCGGCTTCATTTTTGGCTTCCTCGGGGACTCGGCGGCTTGTTTTTCAATTGCAAGCTTCCGCGTTTTCCCAATGTCAGATTGATCGGTGCAGGGCGCACATGGGTGCAGGAAAGCCTGGCAAGAAGTCCAGCCATGTCCAACCCCTTTTTGGTTTCCCTGAGGCCCCACTGCCTTCTCAGTTCCCAGCTGCAGGTTCCCGGCGGGGAGGAGTATGGCTTCACGGATTCGTACCTTGAGGACTCGGCTCGAAGATGTATAGAACAAGGAATGAAAGTGCGTTCGTTTTACTCACGCGCTCATTAATACTATGAAAGAGCCCCTAATTTATTATTTATTTTAATGGGGCTCTTCATTATAAGTATATTGTATGAGCGGCCAATTAGTTCTTTTATTATGGCCGCTATTATTATTATTACGATTATTATTATTACCATTTTTCTCCTTTCTTGTTTCGTTCACACACTATAATATTATTACAGGCGCGAGCTTCCCATAATATTATATTGTGTTCTCTTCACACAATAATATTATAAGGGAGTGAGTGAGCCTGGTTAATAATATTATGGTGAGGTGAACACTGCGGCCCCAAGAAACTGAGCGAACGAGGTGACATGAAGGTTGGTACTAAAGACCTTGTAATGTTCACTCTTTTCCTTTGCCTGGCGGTGAGATTAGAAGAAGGATGTGAGGAAAGGGGAATATTGGACGTACCTTGACTGGCGGTTGAACTCAGAGAATGATTCGCGAGTACACGGTCAACCTTGGTTTTCACTGCGTTCGCCCCTTAATTGTATTTCATGCGTCTGTTCATTCCACTCACGCCCTTGTAAATACAATTAATGGTTCTCTCTTCGTCTTTATAATGAACAACGTGAAGCAGGAAAGACGAAAAGAGAGAACGAAGAAAAAGAGGGCGTGAAGAAAAGCCCAATTAAAATCATGCGTGCGCTTCGCTCCTTACATTTTTAATTGGTTTTCTTCACACACTTGTCTTGTATATACTGACCTATCTGACCCCTTCTCTCGGAACGGACTCTGCTGCTGAACCTTACACGTTTACTGCCAGTAGTCGGGCGATGGCGTGTTCAGGAGATCTCAGGAGGGCGCGAGTTGACTTGCAACTTGGCGGGAGTTGAGAACTCGCGAGAACTCGGTGGCACTCGAACTTCGTGCTTTGGCTTGTCAGATGTTTCAGAACTATCGATGAGGCTGCAAGGCATGCTGGAACTCTCTTGGGAAAGCTCTCCCTGAGCAAGCGCTCGCCCCACTGCAAAGGCTATTTCTGGGCAATACTGGGTGGTGTCATCTGGAACGTTGCCAACATCATCCTATGCTGCTTGGCGGCCTAAACAATATGAAGTCGCGTGACATGTCGGCTCAAACTCATTCAAACATCCATGGGAGCTTACCCAGCGCGTGTCACAGCGACGAAGTTGAAAGTAGCTACGTCTGCAAGCTTCGGCGTTTGGAAGCTTCTGTGAAGCCCTCCAAACCGCCCAAAGTGGCGTGGCAGGGAGTAATCATATTGCGTATAGGGGGTAGCTTGAAGGGTGCGCTGCGGGGTGGCTTTGCTTAGCTCCGATCAGATGCACGGGCGAAACACCCAATGCACTTTGATAATCTTTGATATTTCGCCCATCGACACCATCACCACAAGGCCCCTGGGTTTTCAGGCGGGGGGGTTCAGAAGGAAATTCAACTACAGATCTCTCACCTGCACCTTTTGCCCTTCTTTAAAATTTACGAGGTATCATGATACTTGCAATTGAGTTACGTAAGTTTTGCGGGAAGCCTCCGTCTCATCCTCGATGAGTTCCGCAGACCCACAAGCAGGCCCCCTGCCCCCCACCTCCCCCACAAGTTGGAACCGCGTTCAACTTGCACAGCGAAATCCACACGGCTTTTTTCCATACCCTTGAGTAGCGTTTCCAGTCACCTCAATGACCTCTTTCTTCATGGTGAGGCAAGGGCATCAGCCTACTGGGCAACGCTATCGGCTTCCCACTCTGCGTAGGCCTTGGCATGGTCACAGGCGCGGCGCTTTCGAAATCACCATTTGAGCGTGCTCATGTCTAGACCATACCTAGGACATCCGCATTGCTATCTTTGGATGCAACGTGCGCGCACGGGGACGTTCCCGTGGCGGTCTCTGTTGAACTGCCGTTTGTCAGGTGTTCTCTCAGCATACATCCAAGAGCCAAAAAGCGACCTCGCTTTCCTGGTGCCAGGCCCGCGTTGTTCCAATCTGTGTTTGCCGCTTGTGGGAACGTCAATTTTCATCGTTCGTGCTGTAGGATTGCAGGATTCTGAGGGAGTAGGAGGGTTGGGGAGTGAGAGGAGTCAGGAGGGTCTTGTCTCAGAAATGGAGCTTGGGCTACGTCGGCTACGTCACAGCATGAGTGTCTCCTTTGAATCCTGCTGCGGCTGCGACAAACCAGCACAGCATGAGTGCTCTGACGAGAGGGTGCAAGGCTGCTTTGCCACTATGCCCACAGCCCTGCGTGGGTCTTCTTCACTATACCCTCCAAGGGCATGGTGTGAACCCACAATCCGTGTGATTCCGTGTGTTTGGCTTACAGCACAACGGCGGCTGATGCCTTCACGGCCTCATTCGCGGAAGTGAGCTTTCCTTCGCACATTCTGACCGCCTGAGAGGTTTTGGCAACACTGCGCTGGAAACTCTTCATTTTCCTTCATTCGTTGGCAGTTTTATGGAACAGTGCGTGCTCTAATCCACGGCAACGCCCGTACAAAACATTGCAACACCAGAAAGTCACTGAATGAGCACATTCTTGTGCTTTCAGGGGCACGCCCACCTTGTCAAGCGGGAAACTTCCCCTTTGGCCTCATGCTCCTTGGGGGATCTGGGCGAGATCCGTCGGATAAGAGCGTCGGAAGCGTTGGAAGGATTACCTTACCCTTCCCAGTGTGTGCATGCGCGTGCACACACACACGCACACGCACGCACACACTTGAGGTAACCCGCTGTGTCAGCCAGGGGCACAGAAGCATGTTCAATCATGTTCCTGCATCCCGGACCGGTGCTCTGTCGACTCGCCAAGCTTACAAAAGGCTTACACCTGCTAAACATTTGCTAAATGGCGGTGAGTTTTTTTTTCCGGGCTTGTAACAGGCACCGGGGGGTCCCTCCGCGACAAAGGTTTGTAACAGACCTGTCGTGTCCGCGACAACCCTCCCCGCAACAAGGCTACAACCCCCCGACAAGACAGCAATACCATTGAATTTTCTCATTGCCAATCTCGATGCGACCTTGATGCGTGTCTGCAGCAACTTTCACTCTAAGTCCGCGACAAGGCCTGCGACAGGGCGCGACATACCCGCGACAACCCGCGCGACTGCTCGAGCCAGCAGGTGCCCATCCGTAGGACAACCTTGAACGAGAAGCCCAGGGTTTATATTTACAGGGTTCAGGCTTTAATGGCTCTCCGGTAAAATCCCTGCGGTCCCTAAACCCTTCATCCGAAACCCCAACCCTAAACCTAAACCCTTTACCCTAAAGCCTTACAAAACCCAACTAAGAAAATTGGGTTCAAAGTAGCGGCGCGACAAAGGTATGAAACAACCTGCCCGCGACAAGGCTTGTAACAGAGGGACGGGGGACCCCCCGCGACAACCCGAATTTTGACCCACTGCCAAATATCGCAAAAAGCATTCAAAACAAACTCTATTGGCCAGCGACTGTGCGGCATGTGTCTGTAAAAAAGTGCTCTCTGGGTAGTGCGTTGAGTACGTGTTTTGTGTAATTGAGACCCTCAGCTGCAGTTGCAGCGCAGGAGTGGTTTTGGCTTTGCTCGGGGCCTCCACCCTGGGCTTCGTCACGTACCGGAAGGACCAAAGTGACCAAAGCGCATCTCGTTGCACACGTACGCATGCATTGAATACATGAAACAAACTCAAACAAGTTCTGCAACCCATTTGGGTGCAAGCGTGCCTGAAGACCCGATCCAAAATGCGATATCTGAGCTAGAACAGTTGGGAGCTTTGCTGCAGGAATCCGAGCTGGCTAGCCTGTCCACAGTGCCACCCTCAGCGAGCCACCGGAATGTGCATAGCAGAAGACATGGATGGGCACCAGTTGAACGAGGCGCACGGATTGCAGGAATGGCATCAAGCTTTAGTGTTAGGGCTGCTTAGGATTTCCAATGCTGACACAGGCGTGAAAGGCACCGACTCAGGACGAAGGTTAGTTTACCATGCATTGGTCCTTTTTGGCCATCAATGCAATGACCACCGTCTTCTACAGTACCTTTGGAGTAATGAGATCCTCGTCGTTGAGCCAAAGTCCAGAGTGCACTTCTACAATCTCAGGCGCATACCGACGCTGGGGGCGAGGGCAACGTCTCAAAGAAGGCGATGCAGGTAAGTACAGGTGCCTTTCGCTGCAAGATCTTTGAGCAAGTAGAACTTTGGCAAGATAATGGGTTTCTCATCATGGTCACCGTAACGAAGCACGTGGAAAGTGTACTTGTTTTGCAAGAGTTGAATTGGGGCATATTGGGGCGGGCCGGGGACTTTCAGAATACAGACAGTCGATCTCAGGCAAGGCTCAACAAATTTCGGTTCCTGCTGGTTGCCTCCTGCTTTCTGCTCCCATGGCCCAGATCCTGAACCCGCGTCACCCTCGTCCCTGAACTGAAAGACAGTGATCTAGCCTGCTTAGGAATCTTCAGGCCTTGGAATAGGACTCGGATCCGGCTTTGGTCTTTTTTGGTATAGAAGTCCCGGCCCCTAGCCTAGGGGTAGGCCAAGGGTAGGGGTCTAGGCTGGGGTAGGCGTAGGCCTACCTTCTAGGCCCTACCCCCTAGATTGGGGTAGGCCTAGGGCAGGTCTAGGCCAGGGTACGCATAGCCCTACTTCTAGGGTCTACGGTAGGGTAGGGGTAGGCCTTGGGGTAGGCCTACCCCTGGCCTGAGGGAAGGCCTATTAGTAGGGGTAGGCCTGGTAGGCCTACCCCTACCCTACAGGTAGGCCTAGATTAGGCCTTGCCTAGGTGTGGGGGTAGGGCTACCCTCCTAGGCCTACCCCTAGTGCACCCTAGTGCAGGGGGTAAACCTAGGGGTGGGGGCAGGCTTAGGGGTAGGCCTACCCCCCACATCAAGACCAGGCCTACCGTGAACCTGCCCGTCAGGTAGGGTTAGGCCTACCCTAGCCTACCCCTACCCTGATGAAGGGCCTAGCCTAGGCCTACCCCTAGGTCGCGTAGAGCCTACAGGCGGGACTTCTTTATGTCTTTTTTTGGTGAATGAGCTGGAACTTTGCTGAATGATTTCTGATGTCGGACAGGGACACAAATACATTCGACTCGGTCCAGGCCTCTGAAAGCCGGAAGAGAGTCCCAAACCCGCCCCAGGCGCCAACCTGGCCAGGAAGCTGCTCGTGTGTGTTGCCGGAGGACGTCTGGCACGACAATGCACAACAGCTGCTCAGAGAAGCAAAAGCTATAGTAACCATAGCTACTTCGAGTCGTTTTCAAGCCGCGCCAGCAGCCGCACCATGCCGCCGTGCCGCCTATGGGGACAGAAGAGGTCCCAAACATACGCCCAGACATGCGTCTTTGAGGATTTTCGGAGTCCGCTCCGCTGCAGGAGTTTTACGTGGCTTGATGAACATCGGCATCGGGAAGGCTCGGCAGAGCGCAGAAGTTTAAGGAGCTGTGGTCAAAGAGAGAGGCCAAATCTGGGTGCACGGTGTAGCGCCTGCGTGGGAGTGAACGCCTCAAAGTGCTGACCTGTTGACTTGTTGACTTGACCTCTCCCAGTCTTTTTGTTTTTGTTTGCTGTTCTTGTCGGAATGTTTTTTTATTCTCCGTTGGAGGCCACGGGCCCGGCCTGTGGCTTGTCGCCCTATGCCAACCAGACGCTGGGAGAACAGAAGCTAAGTGAGCTTTGCAATCAGGGGCTTCTTTGCAATCTCTCCAACATTATGTGGCAAAAGTTATATACTTAGGGCTACAGGCTCTAGAGGCACGAGCAGTGCAGTACTCAATCTTTGCAATCTCAGCACAGACTGATAAACCAATTCTTGCTGGACGGAGTCCGCTTCCATGTCAAGTCACACAGCCCCCCCCACCCCCCCAACACACACAACACATGGGCGCCGACCGTTCATCGTTTGTTGGAGTTGTCGGTCTTGGGCTGAAGTAGCAGTAGCTACCGACTGCTTTCTTCAGGGGATCAGGCAGAGGAGTGTGCCAGTGCGGTGCATGTTTTGTTTTAGCGCTATGCGCTAGTTGCTGCATGCTAGGACCTACTTCTCCATCGGCGTGTTCCTGTCCAGCTTGGGCATGCTGCCGCTGATCACGGCCACGTGCCATGTTTGCAGGGTTCTTGTCTGATCCAGATTGCTTGTGTCAGGCAGATAGCAGTAGTAGTCGACCTCTTATCCTGCCAGGCACTGCCTATCGAAGGTGGTAAAGGAACGCACCTTCTTCCGGTGCTTCGGAGCCACGGCTTTCCAGTCCTCTTGTATAGTTAACTGTCATTCCCGCGAGGCCACAATCGATGATGGGCAACCCTTTGCCCGGGGTTGAGCTAAGGGTATAGCGATGTGACAAGAAGACTGCGTGAGATTTCGGCAATAAACAACATGGAACCACAAAGAAAGCTCGCCGCGCTGCCTGGCGATGCGCAAGACGATGTGACAGTGCCGAACCTTAACTTTCGGAGCTCAACTTTGGCTGAAAGGACTGCCTCGAGCGTGAGCACAAAGAACCACCTCCTCGCAGCCCTCGGTGGCTTCATCCACTGTTGCTGATCTGAACATGTCAATGAGTCAATGGTCTCTCCATGAGTTCAGCAGGCTTGCTGTTGTTCCGCTCAGGATCGTTCAGACTCGGGTGAGCGTTCATTTCCGTCGTATGGATCGGCATGCAAGTGCTGCGAGACGGGTACAGCCTATCCGGCATGTTGTCATATTCGTCGGTGGCGAGCAGCTAGCAGGCTAGCGGATGCCCTCGCAGATGTTCGTTGTGTGCACATCCGTGCTGCTTCGTTTCCATCGTGGCCACGTATCCCTCCTGAAATTTTGTAGTCGGCGTTCCTTCTCATCATTCCCTTCTGCCCTTGAGCGGACGACAAGCATGTCTGTTATGATGGTCTCCGAGCACTCGTGATGCGATCAGGTCTCGCTCTTGCCAAACTGGGCAATGCGAACTCTAATTTACTTCAAAGCGTCAGGGCTGAAATGTATCTCCCACAAGAATCTGGGTCGAGTTTATACTCATGCCTGAATGCGTATACGATGGTACATGACGGCACGCGTAACTTGGACAACCACCTCCAGAGTCGTTGGGCTCTTCTCTCCTGGAGGCTCTGGCTTCTATTGCTTCAACTTGGGCAACCGGCCACTTAGCCTCACCGTTGCCTACTGCATCGGCCAGTCTGCCCCGCTGGTGCCCGGGCCGAAAACGTTGGAAAACACTGAACCGGTGTCCTAAACCGAGTCTCTAGGATTGCAGGCCGTTTAGACTGGTATGCTGCAAGAGCAGTGAGAGTTGCTGCGTCTTGAGTCGTAGACTTTCGTAACAAAGTTGAGGTTGCAATTCTGTGGGGCACCTTCTTCTTCCGTGAGTTTGCGGGAACAAGCCGAAGAGCGTCTCGGCTTCATCTTCGGGGTGCCCGCAGTCCTTAGAACACAAGTTCAACATCCCTCGTGGTGCGGACCACGGCCCTAGAACAGTGGAGCAGCTGCTTTGACATGCCCTGACGCATCATGCCGGACCATCCTAGCAGTTGGGTGCGGACCAGCAAGTTCTGGCATCCGTCCAACAACCTCATTTGGGCATCGTGTGCACATGTGTGCACATGTGGGCACATGTGGGCACATGTGGGCACCGGTTGCAAAGACCTCAGAGTCTCTCGGCAGTGCGCGCAACTGAGGTTTGGGGTCTTGTGCCTCTGGTGTGTTTGCTCTTCTCAACGGCCATTTCGCTGATTGCCCTGGCTGGATGAGCTAAGGGGTTGTCCCATGTGATGTTGTGTGTTATTGTGGGCTGCACAATGCGCCCAGGGTTAGCCGGACACCCCGGCAGAACAGACTTGAACAGAGCGGGATCCCCCGAAAGATTGTGGGATCCCCTCCAGTTCCTCCAATAAAAGTGGAGGCCTGCTCGGGATGCACCGGGTACGGAAGCCGCAATGTTTTAAGTTGCGGCTGCGTTTGTTTCCGATCCGACTGGAGCATCTGCGATACCAGATGCTACGAACTCCGCTCATTGACAGAATTTGTTTTATTTTTGTTCGGGCAGGAGCTGCAAACGGAGGACTGACGCTCGATATCAATGCTGCAAGCCGTGCAGAAGATTGTAGTAGATTGCAGCATATCCTGGTTAACTTGCGCCACTTATGTGATGCTACGTATCCCAAAGAGCATGCCTCAAAGCCTTCATGTAAGCCTTGGATTCAGGCAGATAGTGCGGTTCCTGCTAACATGAGCAATGAGCAGCGTAGAGCAGGCCTTGTTAGTTTTCCCACGAGCCTGTGTACAGAATCGGAGGCGCACTACTGTTGCGGACCTGGCCTTGGCTCGTTTGACCAGCAAAGTTGAATATTCATAGTTCGCGGAGCTGTGCGGCTGTGACGTTTGGGCATGGGCACTGCTCCTTGCATAAGACACGGATCGTGTAAGGGTTGATAGTGGCCGTACTGGTCAAGTATGTATACTGCCAGCAGCAACCAGTCGAGTGGGCTATCTTCGTATAGAAGCGATCTCGCGGGCTACAGGGCAAGCGGGAGGGCATCGGCCTGCTATGAAGTTAGAAGCTTCTGGTCTGCACGCTTAGGCAATAGACGCAGGCTTCCTCATGGGAGAAAGAAAATGTTGTTGCAAGCAGGTTTCGTCTGCCTTCCTCCTGAGTGCCAGGGTGCCGGACACCAAGTCTATCAACATGCCCCCAGTCCCTGGAGACAAGCTGTGACAAGTGACAAGTCCTTTGCGAGACACAGACTGGCGGCACTGGTGACACTGAGGGTTACTCTGAGGTTTGCAGCTCGTATGCTCAGTTGGCCACTGCAGCCCCTGCCATGCTGCCGCTTGGCAGAGACCAATTGCGTGCTGTATCTCGTTTCGGCCTTAAACATGACGCAGGATACCGCGAAGTGCATATGAGCTCGAAACGAGAATTCGCGAGGTCCTACTGACCGCTGACTCGGAGGTTTCGCAAAGGAAACCACGTAGCCTTGCAAGTTTGTCAGGATCAGTGCAGCTGTCCTCATGCGAACCCCTGATCTGAGGCAAAGCTCAAAGAGCGCAGAGGTTCTCCGGCGAAGGCATGAATCCAGTCAACCTGGACTTGCTGAGTCCATGGAGTATCATCGATCTGACACAGATACCTCTCGTAAGTGCACTCAAGGTAAGATCCGGTGTGTCCTGCCATGCACCTAGGGACTTCAGCTCTCATTGCCTCATTGCTTGCAGACGAAGATGTTTTCTTAAGAGTTCCAGATCTGGGCGCCGCAAAGATCGTCGTGCGAGCACTAGTCAGACTAGTAAGGCCATATCAGGCTTCTTGAGAAGATGTAGAAGAAATCTATTCGTCCAGAGCACCGTGCCAATCCGGCCAGGGGCTCCTCACCAACACTCCAGCGGGGTGAATCCCAGGAGCGCCAACCCGCGGTTCGATGCGGACATGTTGAAGGGATCGGGGGATCGGGGGATCGGGGCTTGCGCTGCCGGACTTCAGGGCGGTCGTACTAGCAACCCCGCTTGTGCGCTGAAGCTTCCCGAGTCCAAGAGATCAACCGTGCAGGATCTGAGCCAGGCGTCACTCGGCTGTTGACAGAGTCTGCAAGCGCTCAGGCTTCCTGATGTCTGCCCACTTAAAGCTCCGAGGACCTTTGAAAATACCTGCTTAGTTAATCCCCACCCCCTTAACCCTTGAAATTTAGGGGGGGGGGTGAGGCCTTGAAATATTTCAGGCGGTTAGCTGGACGCCGAGGCATGATAAACCTGGGGGTGGGTGCAACAGGCTGAAATTTCAACATTCGGGGGGTAAGCGTCTGAAAATAATTTCAGAATCGAATTCTGGACCACAACCGTCAGGGGAAGGCAGAGGATGTCTGCAGACCATTAAAACAGACACACCGAAACAAACAACAACCCACGAAGCACATAAGATCACATAAGTACACATAAATACCACCTCTAGAGATTGTTGGAGGTTCTGGGGCAGTTGCTGCCTGGGCAGGCCGTCCCGGTACTACGTCCCCAGGGCGTTCTTTTTTGCTAGGCGGAGAACGTGACAGACGACAGACTCAAAGAGAGAGAGAGAGAGAGAGAGAGAGAGAGAGAGTGAGAGAGTGAGAGAGTGAGAGAGAGAGAGAGAGACTCCCACCCATGTATTGAGTAGTCTCCGGACCCCTTTGGGGAAGCTTTTAGCTGGTTAGCTGTGGAATCCTGAGGTGGCTTTGCGCGCCAACTACATTGGCCTGGGCGCGAAGAGAGTGAGCGCGAGAGCAAAAGCGAGTGAGAGCGAGAGCAAAAACGAGTGAGAGCGAGAGCGAGAGCGCGAGCGAGAAAGTGAGAGTGAGAGTGAGAGTGAGAGTGAGAGTGAGAGTGAGAGTGAGAGTGAGAGTGAGAGTGAGAGTGAGAGTGAGAGTGAGAGTGAGAGTGAGAGTGAGAGTGAGAGTGAGAGTGAGAGTGAGTGAGAGAGAGAGAGTGAGAGAGAGAGAGTGAGAGAGAGAGAGAGAGAGAGTGAGAGAGAGAGGGTGAGAGCGAGAGCCGGGGACGTAGTACCATCGGGACAGGCCATTGTTCGACCTACCTACCTCCCCTTCAAAACCCCTGGCTGAAATTTCAAAGACCTTGCGGGCCCACCAGGCAACAGCAAAATCCTGAAATTTTTTCATGCTGGCGACAAGGGGGGGGGGGGGTTACCCCCCCCCCCCCTAAGGGGGGGGGGATCTTAGTTAGAGTCCGCAGAGATCTCACACTATCAGATGCAGGCTTCGTCTACCATCTGTGTACCAGCTTTGCTGCGTGTGCGGGTCAATATGTTGCTGGCTTTCGACGGCGTATGCGTGCACAATGTATAAGCATGATGCACGCAGCAGCTGCATCAGCTAGCAAGCGCATTTAAGCGCTTGAGAGGCCAAATTGGCATATAGTTAATCCAGCACTCAGCAAAAGCGCTTAGCGTGGCACTTCTTGGGGCGCGTAGCCATCTGTGAACCAACTGCAGACGGCCACTGTGAGACTCCGCACGTCTCTGCCGAGTCTCCACACCTTCCCTCTGAAGCTACTCAAGCTTTAGCTTGACATCCAGTTCGTCCATGGCCGGTTGTGCACTTGCTCAAAGGTCGATCACCTCACTGGGCCAAGACTCTGCTGCGCGGCGAGCGCAGGAGGGGTGCTCTGGAGGGTCTTCTGGGCACCCTATCGCGCATCACTATCACAATGCAGGATGTTCCCTAAATAGCTCCGGATGCTAAAGGCTTAACTCAACTGAAACCATGACATTGCCAAGTGTGCTGCGAACGTCTGTTGCCCATGGAGAAGTGTTTTGAGAACATTTAGACATGTAGAGAAGTGTGCCGGTAGAATCCGGTACTGGGAAGTAGTTCTTCTGCGTTGCGACTCTGCTCAAAGGAGCTGCTGCTGCTGCTGCAAGCTGGCGACGCCGCTTTGCGAGTGGCAGAGTCGTATGACCAGGGGTCTCCAACAAGGGTCAAAAACGGATCCAAGGGTCACTTTGGCTTCTTTGGCTTTTGTGTCGCGTGTCTCGTGTGTGTCGTGCGTTGTGCCGGGATGGGCGAGGTCTCACATGGCTTAGCCGGGAGATCAGTCGGGAGAGCAAGATCGACTCATAGCTGGCCTCTTAAAAAACCTGAGGTCTGGTGTCTCGGCTGCGCGGCGCACGTGCTCCTCTGCGGGCAGCTCTTGGCCTTAGTCTAACAAAGAGTTGGTGCAAGTTGGGGAGACAAGGTCCAGTGAATCCAACGAAGCACGATCGACCTTCAAACGCGTTCAGGCTTTCAGAAGATGCCTTAGGTTTCGTTCGGCGACTGTTCCTCTGAGCCCTGTCCACACCTGCAGAGTTAAGAGTTTACAGCAGCATATCAAGGGTCACAAGGCAACGGAGCATCACAAAAAAGGATGCTGGTGAGCCACGACTGCCCCCACAAACTTGAAACTTGCACACCTTTCCAATCCATCGCGCGAGACAGGCGGTGCATAGACTCAGGGTTGCGGAGTCGGAGAACAGAATCGCCAAAGTCGACCCCAAACTCAGGATTCCTGTGGTGGACTCGGCAAAGACTGGCGAGCAGGAGACACGCATAGTTTTGTTCCGATATGCTTCGGTTGGGCGTTGGGCAGTAACTGTCTCGGAAACTGAGGGATCCCTTCGGAACTCCGTTAAGTCCCCAGAAAAACTACGAGTAAACCCGTAACGGGGATTTGCATTTGCTTGCAAATTGCAAGTATCAAGGCCTGACAGAACATGAGAAGGCGTAGACACTTCCAGAAACCTTTAGAGACCTCTTGGAACCTCCAAATCTTCAAAGTTTGGACGCAGCTGAGTCCAGGACTTGCCCCTCTTGACTGCCACTTCACCGGGCGCCACAGATCTCTGCCGCGCCCTGCTCCATCCACAGCCCAGGCGCCGAGCCGAATCAGGAAATCTCCAATTCTATGAACTCAATCTCTACTGAGCAAGAGTGGCTTTTGCATACTAATGCACTCGCAAGGTTCATTCTAGCATAGAAGTGTCTACTTGTAGTGGCTGCTTACACTGGTGAGAGCAGACAGGAGCAGAAGTGCAGACAGGCAACAACCATCTGCAAGATATCTAGATATCTCACCTTCTTAAGCCTCGCACCACATGTCTTAAAGGCCGAGTAAAGCATAGGCAAGCCACTAACACGATGCAGGAGACGGCCAAGCGCTGCTGCTCGGCGACTGCTTGTATAATTACGGCTTGGACTGGGGCCTTGAAACATCGCACATGACATGC